AAATTCTCCGGGCCATGTGTAAGTCATTATGCATGCAAATCTGCCAGAGGATTTTCCATTGCTTCTAGAGATTTACATGGCCGCTGACAGACTGAGACAATATTAAAGGAGAGCTCAGAGGGGATCTACTACAGATTTTTCTTTTTCTTTTTTTTTTTAATGTGATGAAATTTGGATAAAGGTTAGATTTTAGGCAGTTGAGACACTGTGTTGTGTCCAAAAATAGAAAGAAAATTAAAGTGGTCAAAAAAGGGACATTCATCTGTTCCCTCTTCAAATGTTGTGTTAACCATGAATCAAACCATAACCTGTGGTAGGAAGTTTAAATACCACTTTTCCACTGGCCGCCCATGACCATCACTCATCTTTTCCTCTAAAAAAAAAAAAAAAAGCTTTGGTGTAGCAACCCCTGATCCCACAGTATTCAAATGCACAGCTCATTAAACCAAATAGACACACGCAAAATAAAATAAAGAAATGATTATTGAACTGATTTCGGGCACCCTCAGATCAAGACAACAGTGGGAGAAGTAGTTGGAAACAAAGAAAATGTGTGAGAAAAAAATGTGTGTTTGTAAATTTCTAAAACTGAACAAGCACACTTCTGCATTATTAAGCACTATATAAAAATGAGAATGTTGTTTTAATTGATTAAACAATAAAACCATTCAAAATGATGAAGTATTTATGAAGTATGATTAAGACACTTTCTGGATGTCAAACATTGGTGGATCATCTTCACAGTTAATATGACGAAGGTGTGAACTTAAAGAGATATTTCACCAAAAAAATGAAAAAATGAAAATTCTGACATCATTTACTCGCCCTCAGGTCATTCCAAACCTGTTAGACTTTTATTCATCTTCCAAACACAAATGAAGATCTTTTTGATGAAATCTGAGAGATTTCAGTCTCTCCATTGACAGTCTACGCAACTACGACTTTGATGCTTCAAAAAAGTTGAAATATGATTTAAGCGGTTTAATCCAAATTTTCTGAAAAGACTCATTTGCTTTATATGATGATCAGATCACATTATATCACATCAGTTGTGGTAAACAGAAGCTCAAGCATATTCACCTGATGTGTAAGAACCAATGAGGTTCATTCTCATTTTACGCAGAGCGTTTAAACCAATGTGGTTTGTACTCGCGCGTCAAGCAGGTTCAGTTGAGCCTCTGTTTATGTTCACTGATGAGTGTTGATACGTGAATAAAAGCCTAAATTAAATCTCTTCATCATATAAAGCGATCCAGTCCCTTCAGAAAATTTGGACTAAAAAATTTGTATTTTCCCGTAAAATATACCGTATTACCGTATATATAAATAAAAATAGGAAACGATGTTTAGGCTAGCTGAATGTAATTTTGTACTCGAATACATATTAATACATTACATTTTGATGTTTGAAAGTCTAGGTTTTTACATAAATTCAGATATCAATGTAATTTAAACAAATAATAATTATTATAAATAGATTTTCAAATATATGAAGAAAATATATTTTCTTTTTTTCCATTTGTTTCTTAAGCTCTTAACAATGTGATTACATGAAGAAAAAAAAACTTGAAAAAAAAAAAAACGTTCTGGGCCTATAGGAGGATATAAAGATAGTGTGTCTTCTGAGTGATGGTCCACCATCAGGCTAAATAGGCTCTTTAAAGCTACACAAAATGTGTAAATGTAATTAAAATAAACAGACAGCCCACTTCCCTATTTTGCGGATTTTGGAAGATGTGTGATAGGCTAAATGTTGAAATTGTTGTCCAAATGCTAGAGCAACACACGCTAATCCAAATGTAGATTTTTTTCCCTTTAAATGACACTGTCTCTTTCTCTCTCACACATAGGCTAGTTATGAACACCTTAGACTTTTAAGGATTGTGCTTTATTTTTAAAGTTTGTGGGTGAGAATCGTGCAAAAAAAAAATCCCTTATTTTGGGGATGGATTCCGGGAAAACTCCCTTATTTTCAATGTTCAATGTTGACAGCTATGCGCACCATCAGTCAATGGATTGGCTTGATTCAATATGGTCTTCAGACAATCGGCACACTTACTCTGACACTTAATTTTACACGTGAAATGCAGCCAAACCTTGGACCGTTTTGTATTCGGGATCTTCATTAATCCCTTCACTATCGACGTTCCGGGAGTCTACCGCATATTGATAATGGCTCCCTGATGCCCGCAAATTAGTTAAAATCTCCAGGAATCTAGAGCGAGGGAGCAAGAGCGCGCATGCGAGACAGATCAGACTGTGCACGCACGAGGGAGAGAGCGAGAGACTTTGTGTGTGTTCGCCTCATGACACAGTCCTCAGGCACCAAAATTTTAATTCTTATTCAGTCTGGTTATTACTGTTTACGTCAGAACCGGTTCCCTATTGGCACCGCGTTTCGGTACCCAACCCTATCCATAATGCATCCGTCTGCGTATTCAGTATTTTCGTCCATATTTTCAAAACGTTTCTGGTGGTGAAATCAAACGCACTGGCACTGATCTGTGATAGGTCTGTTAGCGCATTAGGTCCAACCCCCTATACTCTGATTTCATGCAGCCACCATTTTGAAATCGAAAGCAAGGCTCAGGTGGGAAGAATCCCGGAAGTACAGATAGACAACAATGTCTTGGACTACCAACCTGAAGCTGCTGCCACGATTTACACTATTGGATGTTAATATCCAACATATGGTTATATATAGTTCGTTCCTGCTTCTTTTTTTTACGTTCTGAATATATATAAAGAGTTCAGATGCAAAAGCCTCTAAATGCCATTTAAAATTTTCTTCTAGAATGATCATTTTTATCAAGCTTGTATATTTAAGTTCAGTGATTTCACTTAAATGGCAATGATAATTACCTATTAATTGTTATTTAAGTGAAATTACTGAACTTAAATATACAATTTTGATAAAAATCCTCATTAAAGAAGAAAATTTCAAATGGCATTTAGAGGCTTTTGCATCTGAACTCTTCATATATATATACATTTATAAATTTCACTGTAGTATGAAAGAAATGTATGTACATTTTTAGAATAACAAATTTCTACATTAAACACAACAATACGACATCGCATTCGCGACTCTCCTATGATTAAAGGCGACACTTCCGGTTTTCTTCCCACCAGAGCCATTTCAAAATGGCGGCTGCGTGAAATCAGCGTATGGGCGGGTTTGAAAGGGTGAGATCTAGTGCTTGTAGTCTTTACAGAAATCCCCCCTCTTACACTTCCTCCTACAATGACGTAAAATGACGATTTTTGCGTCATTGCAGGAGGAAGCGAAAAAGGTAAATAGCGAACTTCTCTCGTCACATGGGAAAATGAAAGAGTGTTGCACGACCATTCAATAGTATGACTGGATTTCTAACAATGGAAATCCTAATGCAAATGGGTGGAGTGTCCCTTGAACTGACTACATACATCTACTAAAATCACTGAATCCAGTTGGTTTCAAATCATCGCAAAAATGGCTTGATTTACGAAAAAAAAAAAGCTCCAGCATGATTTGTTTGCAGATGCCTCTCGGTTGTTTTGTGTCGAATGCAATCACTTTCAGAAGTACTTCTCAAGCGTCCAAATACTTTTTTGGCATAACTGTGTGTGATATGATATTTGAGATGTCTTACGCTTTGTAGGTTTGACTATTGGGGAATGATGGAAAATTGAGCAGGACATCCTGTATTCTGGTATCATTGACAGGATTAGATCATAAACAGGCAAATACTTCAATTTAGGTCTATTTAAACCACATGCTATTTGATTATGGCAGGATTTCCATTCTGTGATTTTAATATTGTGGATATAAGTGATGACCTAATGGAGACCCACCTGGATCATCACACAGGCAGGTGTTGATGTGGTACCAACCAGATCCAGCAGTGGGCAAGTTCAAACTTATGTGCCAAGTGTTTGAGCATGATTAAACTTATTTGAAACATTACCCAATGTTGAAAAAAAAATGTATGGATTACATTAATGAGCTCTCTGTGACCAATACTTCAGAGGTTGAAATTTGCGGTCAAATACAGAGAATATTATGTGGATGAATTCTTAGCACTAGTCAGTGCCAATCTTTCTCACATGTGTCACCCTGTGTTACTTTTGCATGGCAGGTTTCAAGACAATCAGTCAATCTATCAATCAATCAATCAGAAATGTCACATCTTGAAGTATTAAAATGCATTAATTGCACCCGACATTTTAGATACAGATACTGAATATGTATTATTTGCATATTCCAATATTTAAAATATTCATATTTTTTTTATATTTAATACATTAAAAACATTATTTATTACTGTTGACATTTACTTTACGTGAAGCGAAAAAAGCTTCAAACATCAACTACACATTAATTCATGGAGGGCTTATGACCTATTATCTTCGCCATAGTTCACATAAAATTGTAAATTATGTCATTTATTTACCTTTGTGCTTTGTACTTTAGCAACTGCATCACACCATCCAACATTTCCACCTTGGATTTTCCAGCCCGATCTCATGAAAGTTCGTATCTATGGCACGAATGTCATTTCTCGTGGCATTTATACGCCAAAAACAGTTTTTGCGTGTAGATGGCACGCGATTTTCGCGTACATATGATACGCAGTTTTTTGCGTATAATAAACCCAGGGTTTTTTAGTGCGTACCATATACACGAAAAAAAAACACTTTTGGCGTATAAATGCCACGAGAAATGACACTCGTGGTATAGATACGCATCTTCATGAGACTGTGTTGGATTTTCCCTGCCTTGTCTAGATGCTTGAAGATATTTAATGTCATTTTAAGTATTTAATCAATTTATTATTTGTAAAATAAAAAAGTGCCTCACTATGAAGCCACACTGTTTTCATAGACTTACAATAAAAGCAGATATCAACATATTTTACTTGCATTATCTCATAAACTTAAGTTATTTTGTGGTGGTGAAGATGTTTTCAACATGACCTTACAGACTGAGGAGGTGACCCTGCCCAAAGCTTTGCATGCTGATTTCCATGTGTTCCATTCATGCCGGTAAATGTGTTTAGACCCTCCAGAGCCAGAAAGATTCAGAGAGTGAAGGAGACTCCATGCAGAGGACACTGCTGACAGAGATGGCCATAAAGTGAGTCCCTGCTTATTAATGATATTTTTAAATGATATTCAAGAATGCTACGCCTGAATTTACGGGTCACGAGGAATTTCAGATTCAATGTTAGGAATCATTTTGGCAGAATGCAATTGGTTTGAAATGCTAGGTTGTCTTGTAATCAATATATTTGAAATCTGTATCACAATCAGCTTCACCAGTGAAGGATCTCCATGTAATTTTCAAGGGTAGATTTTGTTGCTTTCCTCAGGAACCTGTTGATGATGTTGACTCCTGGGGCGAGTCCATCGAGAACCTTCTGTCCTGCAAAGGTGAGAAAATTCACTTCTGAATATAGTGGATTGAATATCCCGAAAAATCGTATTTGTTTTGATTTGTTCTTTATCTGCAATAACAAGTGTTCACATTTGTTTTTAATTGTTATCCCATAATAATAAAACAACAAATGAGACATAAAATAGAGCTATATGGAAATTATTTTGAAATACCTAATAATGATTTATACATGTAATATATTTAGAGAATCATTTGTAGATTTATAATTTTTTGTTTATTGTCTGTATGGAAAGCATTATGATGATTATGCAGTTGATGATTGATGGCATAATGCAAATAAACAAAAAGACTAGTCAAATTATGTTTGACTGAAGTCAGTGGTTCATGTTGAAGGGAAGTCATCTCAATCTCATTCCTGTATAAAGATGTATATCTTATATCAAATTTAGCTCCTTGAATTATATTCAAATGTTCAAACTTTTCAAATTTCAGTTTCGTCATATAAATTGGAGAACGAATACTTAACTATTTTCCATAATAAATTCTAACAATGGTATCATGCTGCAGCGGGACAGATGGCTTTCCAGGACTTCTTGAAGTCGGAATACAGTGAGGAAAATATTCTGTTCTGGCTGGCATGTGAGGAATACAAAAAGATCACGAGTGTACCAGAGATGATCAGCATGGCAAACCAAATCTACACTGAGTTTGTGCAAACGGAATCACCTAGACAGGTGAATTACAGCCCTCTGACTGAACTGTGCTGAGCTCTTGTAATGTCCTAGGTCCTGCTGCTCAAAAGTTAGTTAGCAAGTCTTTTGCTGCAAGTATCACTTTCGTCCTTTGGGGTTGCAAGAATTCAGCATTTAAAATAGAGCAATCAGATATTAGTTTAGTCTTAAAGGGACGGTTCACCCAAAAATGACACTTCTGTCACCCTTTACTCCCCCTCAAGTTGTTCTAAACCCATGTGAGTTTCTTTCTTCAGTTGACCACAAAATAAGATATTTTGAAGGATGTTGGTAATCAAACAGTTGCAGGACCCCACTGACTTCCATAGTAGATCAATCATGGTCAATCAGGGGGTCAATCCATGGGGTCCAGAAACTGTTTGGTGTGGTTCAGGTTTCATTATTTTGTGATCATCAGAAGAAAGAAACTCATGCAGGTTTAGAACAACTTGGGGGAGATGATGACAGAATTTTTATTTTTGGGTGAACTATCCCTTTAATTACATACTCCCTTAAAAAGTAACTAATTGCATTACTTAGTTACTTTTTATGAAATGTAATGCATTACTATCCCTTTAATTGGATAAGTCCCATTATACCCACAACTTTAGTTGGTGTAAAGTTACTTTACAAAATTGTGTTACTCCATTAAAAAGTGACGATTTAAAAAGTACTCCATTAAAAAGTAATTGTGTTACTTAGTTACTTTTTACGAAAAGTAATACATTACTATCCCTTTTATTAAATACTGTAAGTCCCATCGTATCCACAAACAGAGTGGGTGTAAAGTTACTTCAAAAAGTAATGAGTAACTCCCTTAAAATGTAACTAATTGCATTACTTAGTTACTTTTTATGAAAAGTAATACATTACTATCCCTTTAACTGGAAAAGTTTATTATACCCATAACCAAAGTTGGTGTAAAGTTACTTTCAAAAGTAATGCGTTACAGTTTTGTGTTACTCCATTAAAAAGTAACAAATTGTGTTACTTAGTTACTTTTTACGAAAAGTAATCCAATACTATTTTTTAAATTATATAAGTCCCATTATATCCAAAACCAGAATTGATATAATGTTACTTTTAAAGGTAATGTGGTACAATATTGTGTTACTCCCTTAAAAAGTAACTAATTGTGTTAACTTAGTTACTTTTTACGGAAAATAATATGTTCCTATCCCTTTAATTACATAAGTCCCATGATATCCATAACCACAATTGGTTTAAAGTTACTTTTAAAAGTAATGCGTTACAATATTGCGTTATTTAGTTCGCACACTGCAAACAACGCCTCTGTACTTACTCCTGATTTCTCTGCCATTCAATAAATGGGAAAGCAAAAGTATTTTGAAAAAGTAACTCAGATATTTTATTGTGAATTTAAAAAGTAATGTGTTAATAGTTTCATGAAAAAAGTAAGCTGATTACGCAAATCACGTTACTTGTAACACACACAAAAAAAAATCACATTTTAATTTGACCCAAACCATTCTCAAATAATGATGAAACATTTTTAGCCCCATCCTGATATCCCAAACTCCAGCTATGTCTTTGAGATGGCTAAAATTGAACAATACACAATCATTTATTTGTTTGTTTGCTTGCTTGTCTGTTTAGTTATTTAATTAGACATGTATTTATTCGTCCGTTCATTCAATCATTTTTATTTTTTTTAAGAAAAAAAAGAGGGGGAAAAAAAAAGAAAAATGTATTGCTGTTATTTTCAGGTCAACATTGATTCCGGGACTCGCACAAATATTACAAACAACATCTCAGAGCCGACCCTGAGCTCATTTGATACTGCACAGAAGATGATCTTCAGTCTAATGGCGAGAGACTGCTATCCCAGGTTTCTGAAGTCCGACATCTACCAGTGCATTTTGCAAAAGCAAGGAAAGAGATGATTTCATAATGAATAATGGTACATCGATTTTAACTATTACCAGCAACATATTTTTTTTAATGATTTTATATTTGGTAAGCAAGACCTTTTTAGTTTTGGACTGCTCTGAAATAGCTCTATTTTCATCATGATGTTGCCATATAATTTTTTTAAGGAAAAATATGTTTACAGTGACACATTAGGATCTATTCTGATTTTCATGCACTGTTGCCTTTTGTTTTATTTTTTTTTTTCTTTACCGAAAATCAAACCATTTAACTACATAATACTGTACAATAACAGAAAATGTCAGGAATCATCCCATATGGTATTCGAAGGATCTGTTATGAGCTTGAACGAATTCAGTAATGTCCTGGTTATCAGGTTTCAAACAATTTAACTATTTTTATTATTAAAACTTATCCTCTCCTCCCATATCTATAACAAATCTTTTCCTCGCGGGTATGAATGACCCGAAGCCCTCATTTCATTTGTAAATTCAATTTTTTAGTGAGTTTTTTTGGGAGATATTTAGTTGTTTTTCATTTTCTGCATTGTAAATGTGTCCAAATCTAACCTAGAAAGGCGTGTGTGCGTGTGTGTGTGTGTGTGTGTGTGTGTGTGTGTTCCAAGTTATGAGTCTAAGTACGACAAATCTTCCAAGGTCTTTGACCACTCCGATGAACACTCAAATTTTAAAAATGAAAAGAAAATGAATGTCAGACCAAAATGACCTGTGGGGAGGATGATGATGTCAATCTTTTTTGTTATTAAAAGATGATTTGTTTAGGTTTTCTTATGATTGATGTTATGACCGTCAGGAGGAAATTTGTAAAATGAATTTAAAGAACCATTTTAATATGAACACTTTATAAAGGAACACCCTGGATTCCTTATAAAAAAAGTGAAAATATATATAAAAATATATAAAATTTTAATAAATGAACATAAAACATGAAAAATTGTGTGAGTACTTTATATAGATCTTTTAAAAATATATATTTTTTATGTTTGTATTATTTTATCTTTACAGTTTTGTGGACCATGAGTAGATGGAGTTTAGTTTGACAATGATGAAGAAAGGTGAATGGGTTTTAAAACAAATTATAACTAAGGTCCATTCTTGCCAAGAACCACCAGACTGAAAAAGGATCTGACGGACATGTAAAGAGACCAACCGCAATTAGTTTTATTTTAAAAGGCAGTTTTATCTTAAATAGATTAATAAACCAGCATAAAAATAACAATAATAATTCATTATGCCAGAAAAAAAGTCTTTATGAAGTGGGAAATGTGTATAGGTTGGAGGTTAGACCACTAGGAGGCACCTTCTGGCCCATACATATCTGCGTCTCATATTGATGCTAAAGGGTGCCATGTGCGTTGGATGTAGACGAAATATCAAAAGCGTCAGTATATGAACCGAAACAGAATACAATGCTGAATAAAGTCGTAGTTTTTGTTATTTTTGGACCAAAATGTATTTTCGATGCTTCAAAATATTCTAACTAACCTGGTGTCACATGGACTACTTTGATGATGTCTTTATTTCCTTTCTGGACAAGGACAGTATATCATACATACATTTTCAATGGAGGGACAGAAAGCTTGGACTTATGCTGCGTTCAAGTCCTCCTGGGAAGTTCGTAGCCTACGTACGAGGTGGGAAGTCGTGTTTACGACGTGAGGTGCGTTCAAGTCAGTTTCGTCGGAGAAAAATGGCGGTGTACCTTCTTTTAATGAATTACACGAAAATACAGCAAGGTTTGTTAACTCTGCTAATAAAAAAAATGAAGGACAAAGAATGTGCATCGGGTGTGTTTTTTCTTTTTATGTTTTTATTATGAAACCAATGTAAACTCTATCATTAGGTATAATTTTTATATTACAAAGATATCATAGAGAGCTTGCTTTATAAATGAAAAAGCCTTACAATGTCAATGAGTAAACATTGAAATTCAATTAAAATTTACCGTCAACAGACGTTGAATGAACGTTTCTCACTGACACGCCCCCAACTTGTACAGATCGGACTGACTCCCCACTGGCATTTACGACAAGTGCGTTCAACTCGTAATTACGATCTATTCGAGATGACTTGAACGCAGCATAATGGTGCGTTTACGTGCTATGTAAAATTTCCACTTGTGAACTGGTATTTACCAGTGTGTTGCGTTCAAGTGCTTTTTTTTGTCGTAGTAATGTGGGAAAGATGGAGATCCAGAGCTGTTATTTAGCTAAAACTATTTTAGATTGCTTAAGTCATCTGCTACAGCAAGGAAAATGATTTATCAAAACTCAAACGGTAAATAAAATGTTGTATATTTTCTAGATCATGAATAGTACATATTTTTACCATTCACGACTCTCGCGTTGCTCTCTGCCATTTTGCCAAAGGTCATTTGGTCAATAGCAAAGATCTTGGCGAGTTGTGCATAAAAATATTCTATGAGCTGCCCAGTGGAAAATACCACATGAGGGGGTGTTCATGTGCATTTTCCACATTGTGCTTTTGGTAGTTAGCATAATTACCATAGCACGTGAACGCACCATAGTATCCTAAATTGTGTTCTGAGGATGAACGGAGGTATTACGGGCTTGGAACGACATGAGGGTGAGTCCTTAATGACATAATTTAAATTTTTGGGTGAACTAACCCTTTATCTATATAATATAGTAATATTCACCTTTGTGGATGGCATGATAATAATTAATACACATAATATTTTATCATCTTGTGTGGATAATAAATTTCATGTACAGTTAATGCTATTTATACCAATTAGGTTAAAACTATGCAGTCCCATTCACACTGCATTAGGCTTATAATATTGTTCATAGATTTTACAAAAGGAGACCTATATTACCTGGATAAAGTTTTTGGGGCGTGACAGCTAGGCTACGTACAGTATGGTCAGTGAATAGTGGAGCAAGGATAGAACAGCAATTTTTATTTATTTTTTTTAACTTATTGCATATATTTGACCACTTGGTGGTGACAGAGTAATACAATTAATCAGTTCTGTAACACAGCAACATCAAACTGAAATGAATCACACAAACTCAAGACACCCATACGCTAGTCAGCATATTTAAATAATCCGTTGTACCGGTTTACATGCAAACCAATTTCCATGCAAAAAGTTTTTTTTTTTTTTTTTTTTTTTTAATGGCAACAACACCTAATCTTCATTTGTGTATCAAAGCGGGATGTTACATTTCACACACATGCGCACTTCAATAAACCAACTGAATACAGGTGAGTCTGCAAATTCGGCACAAAACGGGTTACCACGTTTACGTGAACACATGCATTGTCGGATTAAGAATATGCTGCTAGTTAAACTCTTAACAGTCTCATCCTATCATTCAAATTGTGTAAAATGTGGGTTGTTTGCTATATTTTCTTGGACTTTTAACATTCTAGCACAAACATTTCAAGTCGAGAAGATGCCCTGTTGGAACCAAAAGTAGCTGGTTTTAGTTCAAATAAAAATTAGCTTCTTCATTTCACCCATTTAAAATCAGATTCAGTATCAGAAAGACCTTTACTGCCAAGCTTGCAAACACGAGGAATTTACCTTGGTACTGAAGCTTCCAGAGCACACATATGAAGGCACAAGAAAAATTTGCTTTTCTCTATTCCCATAGTGTATGATAGCAGGAAAAAATTGCTATGTTTGTATTGAACATTGGTAGAGCAACAGATTTTGCCCAGGAGCCTGAATGACTACACTGCTGCCACAGTGCAGTTCATGGTGGTGAGTGGGGAGTGATGGGCTGTTCCTCATGATGTCCACAATCAACTTTGAGTGTGGTGAGCTTTAGGTTGTAATGACTGCCAGAAAGCCAGCTGTACAACCCCCTGTCTGTTAGCAGACTCATCACCATCCTGGATAAGGCTGATGACAGTGGTGCTGTCTGCATAATTCAGAGGCCTGACTGAAGGGTCTTTAGATGTCCAGTCATTTGTGTATAGGGAGAAGAGCAGTGGGGAGAGGACGCAACCTTGAGGAACGCCAGTGCTGATAGTGAGAGTCCTGAATGTGTCTCACTTGCTGCTGCCTGTCTTTCGGAAAGTTGGTGATCCCCTGACAGGAACAAAAATCTGTGTCAAATGTCTGTTTGTTTCATTGAATTCTGGTCTGATGGTGTTGAAAGCCAAACTGTCCACAAATAAGATCCTTTCATAAGTCCCAGGTCTGTCGATAGGTTGCAGGAAATAATGCATTCCCATGTTGACTGCATCATCCACAAACCTGTTTACTTAAGAAGATCCAGAAGTGATGTCCTTTAGGTCGGCCAACCCCAGTCTCTCAAATCACTTCATGACCACAGATGTGAAAGCAACAGGTCTGTAGTCATTAGACGCCCGATTTTCTCACAGCTGTCACGATTTTATCTTGTCTTGGCCATGTTTCATGTCATTATCATGTTTCTGTGTCTTGTCATGTGATTCCCTGTTTGTCATGTGATCCTGCCATGTGTCTTGTCCTGCACTGCTGGCGCCGCCCTGGTTTCCTGCACCGCCCTCGCTTCCTGCTCTTCAGGCAGGAAGCAAGGCCGGCGCAGGAAGAGGAGGAGATGAGGGGAGCGCAGGACGGTGCAGGAATCCAGGGCGGCGCCAGCAGTACAGGAAGCGAGGACGGTGAAGGAAGTGCAGGAAGCCAGAGAGGCACAGGAAGAACAGAAAGCTAGGGCAGCGCAGGAAGAGCAGGAAGCCAGGGCGGGCGCAGGAAGAGCATGAAGCCAGGGCGGCGCCGGCAGTGCAGGAAGCGAGGGTGATGCAGGAAGAGCAGGAAGCCAGGGCGGGCGAAGGAAGGGCAAGAAGCCAGGGCGGCACTGGCAGTGCAGGAAGCGAGGATGTGCAGGAAGTGCAGGAAGCCAGAGAGGCACAGGAAGAACAGAAAGCTAGGGCAGCGCAGGAAGAGCAGGAAGCCAGGGCGGGCGCAGGAAGAGCATGAAGCCAGGGCGGCGCCAGCAGTGCAGGAAGCCAGGGCAGCACAGAAGGAGCAGGAAGCAAGGGCGACGCAAGAAGAGAAGGAAGCGAGGGCGACGCAAGAAGAGAAGGAAGTGAAGGTGGCACCAGCAGTGCAGGAAGCCAGGGCGGCGGAGGAAGAGCAGGAAGCCAGGGCAGGCAGAAAGAGCAAGAAGCAAGGGCGGCACAGGAAGAGAAGGAAGCGAGGGTGGCGCAGGAAGACCAGGAAACGAAGACGGTGCAGGAAGAGAAGGAAGTGAGAGTGGCGCAGGAAGAGCAGGAAGCGAAGACGGTGCAGGAATGTAGGGCGGCGCCAGCAGTGCAGGAAGCGAGGACGGTGTAGGAATGTAGGGCGGCGCCAGCAGTGCAGGAAGCGAGGACGGTGTAGGAAGCCAGAGAGGCACAGGAAGAGCTGGAAGCGAGGGTGGCACGGGTAGACCAGGAAGCCAGGGCGGCAAAGGAAGAGCTGGAAGCCAGGGTGGCGCCAGTAGTGCAGAAAGCCCAGGGCGGCACAGAAAGAGCAGAAAGCCAGGGCACCAGGCACCATCAGCAACGCTCCATGGCCCAGTTCCGCCCACGCCATGCCACGTCCCTTGTACGGGCCCTTGCACGGACCTGGCCTACAATCCCTCTCCCAAGACCACCTCTGCTCCATCACCCTCCTTGATATTTTTTTCTTTTGTTTGGGTGTCTGGAGCCACCCATTGTCATAGCGATCCTGCCATGTGTCTTGTCATTGGTTAATCGTCTGTTCATTGTTCACAGGTGTCCCTTGTCTTGTCATTAGTCTGTCTATTTAAAGGGATACTCCACTTTTTTGGAAATACGCTCATTTTACAACTTCCCCAGAGTTAAACTGTTGAGTTTTACCGTTTTTGAATCCATTCAGCCGATCTCCGGTTCTGGCGGTACCACTTTTAGCATAGCTTAGCATACATCATTGAAGTGCATAAGAGTGAAGTGCATATTAGCATTT